ACAGGATGAGCCACAGCGAGAGGGAGTGAGGGAGGAAGAACCGCGATTGACCCCCGGTCCCCCCGGGGGCGGGGGGGGGGGGGGGAGGGGGGGGGGGGGGGGGGGCAACGCGGGCCTCTACGCTCTCAACTTCGTGGTCGCTCCCGCCCCTGCGAGGGGGGGGGGAGGACGGATGTGGGACATCAGATGGCCTCCGGGGGCGGGGGGGCGGCCGGGGCTGCCCATGATTCTGACGCGCGGGCGTGGGCCGCGCCATGCGCGGCTGACTTCGCGGGCGCAGAACCCCCCCCTTTGGGGCACACACATGGGGGGGCGTGCCCTCCCACCTGCCTCCGTGGACCGCCTTTACATGCTAGTCATATTGCCCTGCGCGGCCAGCTCCCCACATCCCCGAGCAAACTAGGAGCGAGGGTGTGTGGGAGGGAGCGGCGATCGCGGGGTCCCCACGCCGAGCATGCTTTCGTGTCTCTCGGGGCAGGGGGGGGCGGGGGGGCGCTTGGCCCGCGCCAGGCCATGTGTCGGGGCGGACCCACGCAGGGAGGGAAGGTCCCACGAGGTACGTGTCTGCCGCTGGCGCGGCCGCTGGCGCCGGAGCAGCCCGCCCGCCCGCCCGCCCGCCTGGTGGACGTGCTCTGGGGCGGGCTGCTGGCCGTGCGGAGTTGAGGGGTCCGTGGCGTGGGGAGGGGGGCAGGACGCGCGTGGTTCAGAACGCCCCGGACCCGGGGGTTCCGAACAACCATGCTGGTTGGTGGGGGGTAAACGTGGGCCCGGGCAGCGGCCGCATGCACAATGCAGGGGCGCCCACCGTTCGAGAAGGTCCGGCGGAGACCGTCGGGCAGATCCGGGGAAGCAGCACCGGGGCCGGTCCAGATCGCGGCGCCTCAGATCCGCGCGTTTGGGGGTGGCGGGGAGGGGGCAATTTTATCAGATTGCTGTACCTTCACCGAACCTGGCACCAGGCCCCCTGCACTCCGGGGGAATTGCATTCGGGGTGGTGATCGGGTGCGTGATCTCCCTGCGGGCGTGATGTAATGGTGGACACCTCACGAGGCCCGGCCCCGGTCGCCCGTTGGCCTCCGAAGAAAAGGCCCCTGTGGGAAAGGGAAGGAGGGGACGAGCCGCGGGCCGAGCGAGGAAGCCGGGCCCACGCTGGCTCGCGAGAGTGTGGTACGCCGCACACTGGCGGGGGACGCCTGTCAAAAGGGGCCAACCGACCGGCGCGCGCGATCTCCCCGTGTCGACCGGGGGGGACCGGGCAACAGACGCCGGGGCCGGGTGGCCCCGCCCCCGGGCGCTTGCCCCGGCTCCCCCTTGCAAGCAAGAGCCGGTCAGAGCGTGGTTCTACCCCCCTCTCCTCGCTGACCGGAAAAACGTCGCGGGGGCACACACGGGGCGCGGGGCAAATAACATGGCGTTAAAAAAGGCCCTATTTCTGGTGCTGAGGCGCTGCTTCTCGTGGGAGGGGTGCGTCCTCGCAGCGTGGGATCAGTCTCTGCTGTTTGCTGGCGGGTGGGGGGCAATGGACTTCGTGGGGATGTGGTGAATGTGTATGTGCGTGTGGGCGCATGTGCGGGCGCGCGCCTCTGCCGTGTTCGCTGGCGGCCTTGTCGGCCGGCCCCTCCCGCGGCGGCCCGAGGCGCGCGACGATCGGAGAATGCCGGTGCTGTCGGACACGTCCCTGATGGCGGGAGGGGGGGTCGGGGCAGGAGCCCGCGAGTTTGCGTTTGAGTGCATGTGGATCGGGGTTGTCGGGGGTGTGCGGAGAGAGAGAGAGAGAGTGGGGGCCCTCCCTGTGCGTGTGTGTCCCTGGGGTTGGCAACGTGAGACGCGGGGCGGCGCGCATTGATGTCTCCGCCCTTCTTGTTGGTGTGCGGGGTTGTCTCCTAGGGCGTTGTGCGTGTGCGTGTGTGTGCGTTCTGGTGCGCGCGATGGGCGACGAGGGCGTCGTGTACCTTCTCCGTGGCCGCAGCCTGGCCACTTCTGGGGGGCCGGTGCACGATGGGCTGCCGCGGTGGCGGCGCTCTGCCACTGCGGAGGGTATGTGTCGTGCTCGGCCGCACTGACCCGGATCCCGACCTGCGTCGGGACCCGGGGCGTTCCTTTCCAGTGGCACCCTGACCCCCCGTGCATTTGCGCGCGGCGGCGGCGGGGTGCCCCACGCATTGGTCCCCGCCCGACCGGGCTGGCACGCTGTGTGCCGTGTGTGTGTGTGTGTGTGTGCGTGTGCGTGTGTATATCTGCACATCGGGGCCGGGGGGGGGGATCTTGCAACCGCCCAGCGCCAGTCCCAGGCACAGGGGGGGGGGGGGGAGGCCCACAAAAGTGATTTGTGCCTGTTGGGCCTCCTCTTCCCCCCCGGAGGCCAGGGGGGCCTCCCGCAAACACGTCCCCCCTCGACAACGATGAACTCCTAACCGGCGACACACCACGCGTCCTCCGTGCGCGCTTTCTCTTTCTCTCTGTCTCTCTCTGTACAAGAGCAGGCGCCCGGTAGGCGTATCTCCGCATTGGTCGGTCCCACTCCTCCTTGACTCTGTTTCCTGTAGTTTTGTCGGATTGTGTCGTATGTCCCTCCGCGCGCGCCCCCCCCCCCCCCCCCCCCGCCCCTCCCTGCACTTCCCCGATCCCCTCGCGTTGCTTTCGTCGCGCCCATCCGTGTGCATGGCCCTGTCGGATGCACCATGCATCTGCTGCCCCTTCTCTCTCTCCCCCCCCTTCCCTCTCGACCTCGGTCCACAGGCGCCCGCATGCGCGCACCCACCCACACACACGCACACGCATCTCCTCCTAACGTCGCCCCACGCCTTGCCGCCGCCGCCCCTCCCCCTCCCCCCCGGTCCCTCCTCCGCATAGAACCTTAAAATGATTATCTACACTGATGTTCTTGGCTGTGCGTCAATGCCTCTCTCCCTCTCCGCGTATGCTCCCGCCCCGCCTGCCGGCGGTGTTCCTTTCTCCCCCTCCTCCCCTCGCCGGCGGCGGGAGCGCGCGGGGCCCGTCACATGTGGCGCATCCTTGCCCTTACTCACTGCTGACCTCGCCCCCCCCCCTTCGCTGCCCCTTTCTTGCGCTCGCTCGCTCGCGCGCCCCCTCCCTCTCTCTCGACCCCAACGCGACCCCGCAGGCGGCGACGAGCTCGTCTCCGACGTCTATGAGTTCGAGCTCATCGACGATGTTGCCATGGAGGTCCCCGCTCGCATGATCACCATCTCTGAGAGCGACGACTTCGACATTGGTGCCAACCCCTCCGCCGAGGGTGAGGATGCCGATGACGGTGCCGTCCCTGCTGACGCCCAGGTCGTCAACGAGATCGTCCACGCCTTCCACCTCGTCGAGACCTCGTTCGACAAGAAGAGCTACATGATCTACATCAAGGAGTACATGAAGAACATCGTCGAGCACCTGAAGAAGAACGACCCGGAGCGCGTCACTGCCTTCCAGAAGGGCGCCCAGTCGTACGTCAAGAAGGTCCTTGGCCAGTTCAACGAGTACCAGTTCTTCACCGGTGAGAGCATGGAGGCCGAGGGTATGGTCGTCCTTTGCTACTGGAAGGGCGAGACCCCCGTCATGGTCTACTTCAAGGACGGTCTCCGCCAGACCAAGGTCTAAGCGCCTGTTTTTTTCGAAGCACGCTCTCCTCCCTCTCTTCTCTCCCCGCCCCCGGGTGTTTCCCCTTCTTGGCTGACGACGCGCGCGCGGCGGCCCCCCCTGCCGCGCGTGGCAGTTTGTTGACCGGAGAGCGGGGGGCGCGCGCGGCCAGCGGAGGAGAGGGTGGAGAAGGGGCCAGCCGTGTGAGCGCGCCTGTGCGCCCGCATGTGTGTGGGGGATGCCCCGGGGGGGGGGGGCGAGTGCGCACACTTGTGCCGTCCTCCCTCCCCCGCGCGCGCGTGTATGTGGCCGTGAGTGTGTCTCCCTTTTGTGCACCTCTATGCGCCGCATCCCCCCCCCCTCACATGCGTGTCCTATGCTTCCCCCCTGCGTTCGCGCGTTCTGCATCAATAAAAACAACTTCCTCAATGATGCGCGTGGTGGGTGACGCCTATATACCCACTGGCACGAGAGGGGGCAGGGAGAGCGAGAGAAGGCGCGGGGGTCGTCTTGCTCGCGCACAGCGGGGCGGGTGCGGGGAGGCCGCGGCGGTTGTGTGCCCTTCGCCTCTCTCTCTCTCTCTCTCTGTGTGTGTGAGTCTCGGGGAGGGCGGCGCTCTGCGCGTCTGCCGCCTCCGCAGCTCCCGGGAGAGGGCGCGGGTCTATTAGAAAACACCATTTCACGGATTTACAAATGCCCCAATAGGCCCGACCGATTAACCCTCGGACAGACGGGCTCCTGTGCCCGGGCGGCGGTCCGGAGCGGCAACTGCCCGCCCCCGTCTTCTCCCCGGCCCCAGAGAATAGAAGGGCCGGGGGGGGGGGGGGGGATGTGTATGATTGGTTTTTGTGGCCGCATTACACTCCGGGGCCCGCTCAGCCCCTGGCGCCGGGGGGAGGGGGTGAAGCTGTCGACCGGGGGGGGGGCGGGGTGGGCTCTGGGAGGATGTGTCGCGCTGGGCTGCTGTTCCCACTCTTCCTTTTCCGCTGGCTGGGGCAGAGGCATGACAATGGGCCCGGGGCGGGGGGTTGTCGGCGTAAAAGCCAGGCAACAGCCCTCCAGAAGGAGGCTCCACGTCGGGGTGCGTGCTTTTGGATCCCGCCGACCTCGGGGAGGTTTGTGCGGGAGGAGGCTCATGCTGCGTCGCTGGGTTCCCTTCCCTGTGGTCAAGGGGGGGGGGGAGGAGGACGGGCTCTCCGTGCCATTCCCTACCTCCCTCTCTCTCCCTCCTTCGTTTGTGTTCTCCCACAGGAGGCGGGGTCGGGGGGGGGGGAAATGGGCGGGCGCATCCCCAGGCGAGATGTGCTCCACTTGCTGTCACTCCGCAAGGGAGGGGGGCAGGCCCTTGAGAGGGGACGTCACCCTGGGGGGGGGGGGGGGCCTCGGTTGTGCCCTGTGTTGTACACGGCTACGCGGGTGTGGGGCTGTGCATGTGACTGTGGGAGCGAGCCGGTTTATTCTCGTGTGCGTGTGGGTGTGCGCGCTCGCGCACGCATATCCGGCGTGCAGTTCCCCTGGAGCCGTCCGACCTGGTAGCAGCCGCGGGCTGGTCGGGTGCGCCCGCCAATGGCCCCGCGCGCGCGTCCCCGCCGGGCCTCCGGCGACCCGCGCCCACATGGGGAAACATACACGACCTCCGGGGGGGGGGGGGGCAGCCGTTGCTGCCGAGCCGGTCGAACGTCCCGCGGCAGCGTTGTCAAGCAGCCCTCTCCTTCTGGCGGACCGGGACATGATGGCTCTTGGGAGGGAGGAGGCGGGCCGTGCTGGGGGGGGGGGGGGGGCGAGACCGGAGGCCTGACGCGGGGGCGCAGGTTGTATTTTTTCCACCAGAGTGTCGGCGGGCTGGGGTGTGTTCGTGGCTGCGATGCCCCCGCAGCGCGCGCGCACGTGCGAACACTTCCCCCGGTGGATAGGGGGCGGGGGGGGGGGGCGGAAGTCGCCCCTTGGTCGGTGTGTTTACGTTCGCAGGGCCGGGAGAGCTTCTTCTTCGTGTGCGCGGCGGTCAGCCGCGCAAGTCTCCGGAAGGGGGAGCCGCGACGACGCCTGTTTTTGGGCGTCCCCCCCCCCCCCCGCCTGGAAGAGGTCCCCGGAGGACCCCGTGCGCGGTCCGCGGGCGCTCGGGTGCCCGGCGAGGGGCTGGCCTCCGAGTTGCCTGGGGCGCGGGTGGAGCGTCCGCCGGGGGAGAAGGGGTCGGGGGCGGGGAGAAGCCCGACCCGCCCTGATACGGTCGTCGTTGCCCCGCCCGCCGGTCCCGGCCCCGGGTGTAGCCAGCTGTTTCCTCCTCCCCGGTGCCCAGTTCCAGGGGCCAGGTCGTGCGGCCGTGTCTGGCGGCGGGTGATGTGGCGTATGTGGTCTGGTCCCGTCCCCCCCTCCCCCCCCGGCCCGGCTCGCGGCCCAGTTGGCGGGGGGCACACCGCCGCGGCGGGTCGCCCCCAGGGTGCGGGGGTGCATGTGCGTGCATGTGTCAGTTGACTTGTCTGGCTCGGGATGGCGCGCTCTGCTCGCCTGTCCCGGAGCGGGGGGGGGGGGAACCGTGCGGGCGCGCGCGAGGCGCCAGGAGGCGGGGTCTGGGCACGGTGGAGGCGGGCGCCTGTTCGCCGGGGAAGGGGCGCGGAGTATGGCCCTTTTCGGGCGGTCCGTGGGCCCTGCGAGAGGCCGGCCCGAGGGGCACCCCCCCC